TACACTAGATTAATCATGTATGACAAGTTCGATCTAGCGACCGTTGGCAAGAAGATTCGACTTTTAGTCAATTAACACGAACTCATTTGCTCAGATCGTTAGTCATCTTTGTGGGCCCTTGTGCAATACTTGGTTACAGCTATTTAAAAAAAAAGTTGGGATTAATGCGTCGATTCCATCCCTTTTGGAGATTAACTTTTTAATGCCATTTAATTAGTTACTTTATCTTTTGCTAAAAAAAAAATTAAAAATTAGTGACTTTATCTCCAAAAAAGATAAATTAAATTATGAAATTGAACCTATCCAAGAAATACACCCTTTGATTTTCTTGAAACAGACACCAACTCTCCTTTCGTGTCAGAAATTTTGTCCTCTTTTTGATTGGAAATTGGTCATTAGCCAAACAATCCCCCAAAGAACACACACACTGACACACACTAAAAAAACAGAAATTAAAAATTAAAATTATACAAAAAAAAAAAAAAAAAAAGTTGGTATTGACAGTCTAGACCCATACCCGCCTAAAATATCTAGGCCCAACAAAAATATCTGAACAATTAAGGCCCGTTTGATTGCTAAAATATTAATCGGTCAAAATTAAAATATATAATAAATACTATGGTAATTTAATTGTATAAGTTTTTCGTCACTAGTAAATTCAATTTACTAATATTAGGGATTGGTACATATGTTTTGATTAATTAAATTCATGCTATGCTGATACAAAATTATGTTTCTTCACTCATTAAGTACTCGATAACGTTTGATTTTATTGTAATGTCTTGATATATTATTTCGAGAAATAATTGGATGGACAAGATGGCACATTCGATTCGAATACATTAATTTTAGTTATTTGTAGTATTTTTTATGTGGAAGACGTGTCGAACGTACGTAGTAAGTATTTCATTTTTTTAGACGATACCTAAGTGAATTTGGTCAGATATTTTTTTCGACTTAACATCTTAAATTATATTAGTTAATATTATTTTTTTATTGAATCGTTCTTGTGAATGATATTTTAATCCCAAAAGTGAACCCCACATCTTTCATATATATAAATATGTAGTCGATAAACATTACTAGATATTTTCTTGAAATAAAATCACTCATCACTAATTAAATTAAATTAAAGCAGTGGGAATTTATATGTATATATAATTTAAAATTAAAAAAGATAATAATTAAAATATAAAACTCCATCAATACAATGTGCTACCCGAAACCATCTGCCTTTGCAACAGTAGTTTAAGAAAACCAGGTCAGAATATTAAAATATTTTGACCTAAATATAAATATTTATTTTATTTTATTTTTTTCAATTAATTAATTAATTAATATATACATGCTTATTTTTTTTTCATGAGAGAAGAGAACCATATAAAATAAAATATTTAATATGTACAGGCATAAAAGCATGGGCCTGAATTGTACCCTGAAATTCACAAATAGTGATATTGCCCTTTCTTATTAATTAAATGTTTTTAATCATTGGAAGAAGACAGAAAATGATGGGATATAAACAGAAATACCAAAATAAATAAATAAATAAATAATAATAAATTAATAAATAAAAATTGATGATTAATATATAAAGTTTCATCCTAATCCTACCCCACACATCACTATAATTATTTTATTTAATAGTTTGTTGCAAGTTGTGGGATGGAAGCCACTCAATAACCACTTTATAATATGATGTTATACATCAAAATCTAATTCACAATCTCCCACACTAAAAAATCTGGATACATGATTGATTTTCCCATTTATTATTTGTAAGTGTAGGGCGCGTTTGGCTCAACTTATTTTAAATAACTGATAAATTATTACATCTCATAAGTTATTTTAAAAATTGATAAATTATTACGTTTTATAATTTTTAAAATTAACTTTTAAATTTTTTTGGATAATGAGCTTATAAGTAGTTTTTATACATTATAAGATCTTAAATAAAAATTTAAAAGTAGATTGCCCGTTGGCTAAACTTATTTAAAACATCTTACAAGCTTTCACATCTGATAAGATGTTTTAGGAGCTGATAAGTTTTTGATCTTATTTTAAAATTTAGTTTTTAATGTATTTGGATATGTATCTTACGAGTTACTTTTAGTTCATATAAGTTGTTTAGGTGTTTGGAAATAAAATATCTGATTATCGCTATAATGACAAAAAATACATGACTTCATTATAACTGTTAAACTTATTTGACTTAAATACTTTTGTTCCTAAAATATTATTATAATCTTTACAAATTATTTTTTTCAAATAAAAATAATAATATAAATTTATTTATTAAATAAACAAAATGACTATTTTTTATGTTGATATGATATTTGACTATTTTTTGTTTAAATAAAATGAAGTTTAATAAAATATTTTAATGAAACATGTTTGTGAAAATT